ATTTATTTATTTATTTATTTTTTGGATTATTTCAAAACGTTAGCATAATTTCTTTTAATTTAAAGAGTCTTTTTTTTTTTTTTAATTTTAGGCCTATTGTAAATTCTTCCTTTTTCACATTAAAAAATACTTAACGTTAGGGATTTTAAACATGTGCCCTAAAATATCTGACCAAATCTTTATTATCAAAAAGTGTCATAGGCTAATTTGAAGTTTGAAGGAAATCGCCATGTTTCGAAACGCCCAAAACCCAACAGAAATGGAAAACCATCTTTTAAATGCGGACATTGCCTGTCTTGTGAATGCTTCATAAACATTATAATCGGTGTGCAGTTTCAATCGAAATGGCAGAAGGTGGGTAAACTCGGAGGTAGGAGTAGACGCGGTTAGTTCACCTTCAGCTTAAATCCCTGTCATAAATCAATATTAAGCAACTACCCAATCTTCAACCGACTGAGATGCTCATTGCCCGATAGCCATCATTAAAGCAGAACTAACCTCCCCCTCACAACTAAGCTTGATGGTTGTTGTGACTTAACTTCTGTGTAATTACATGTAAATAGCTAGCCTTGGCTTAACATTAGGGCAAGTTTAGGGTCCACACATATCTGAGCGTGAATAAACCTTTTTTATTTTGCTGATACCTTTGCAGTATGCCCCCCCCCCCAAATTTCTTGGTACTTTGCAAGGAGGGGGAGGGGGATGACAATAAACACACACACACATGCACACACACACACACACACACACATGCACACACACACACACACACACACTAATGGTGATGATTTTAAAAACTAATTGATAAGTAATATAAAGTTAATAATAAAAATAGATTAATAGAAATACTAGACCTCAAAAATAAAGATGTCATGTTACATGTGCTTATAATTATTATTATGCTGAATCTGCAAAATACCACCCTGAGATAACTTGAAACAAACCTCTACACAATAGCATGCCCTTGCTGTTTCAAGTGTACTTCTGACCAGATTTGTTTTGACCTAGTTTATTAAGCCATTCGAATCCATGTTTTCAAGATTTTTTTTACCAAAGTTTGGATTTAAGTCTAGAAATATGTCCACTGAGACTGGAGCAACGCGTGGGTTTGTTTGTAAATGTAACACTATTATATTGAATGTTGTATCAGATGTAAGATAAATAAATTAACGAAAAAAAAATAAATAAATAAATAAAAATAAGTCATGATTTTCAGCAATGCATGTGTATTTACTAAATGAAAATCTATATTTTTTTCCAGGAGGAGGCAACAGCAAATCAGAAGCACATGTAGATGGCAGTGAGGTATATACATAACTATGCAAGGTCTGATCAGGGGAGGATCCAGAAATATTTTCTGACAGTCTTCCAAATTATCTTTGTTGATCCATACTCCATTTTTGACCGTCTTCCGATACAAAAAAATTAGATACCCGTCAATGTAAACTTGAAAATCTGACTGTGTATTGATAGTGTAGATATTTTTTAATTTGTATTGGTAGTCTGCTAGTGCCTGTTGGCTTTCAAAAAATTGATTTATTGCATAAGTGAAGAGATGTTGAAAAGTCGTGAGTAATTTTTTGTATATGTATTCACGAAGGTAACATTTCTTTATTCTAGGACCATGATAGCTCTCCAAGCCCAGAGGAGAACACACAGGACTCCATTTCCCAAAGGAGTGAGTTATTTTTCAAATGCCCTGCTCATGTGCCTTGTTGTTTATCCAAGTAACATACATATTTGATTGATGTGTATTAATTTGCATCCATACCTTGCAACAAGCATATTTCTGTAATCAGGTCAAGACCTTTAGGTACATAGTCAAATCCTTTCAAAGCTATCTTTGATGTTACATGTAGCTCACACACACACACACACACACACACACACACACACACACACACACACACACACACACACACACACACACACACGTATTGTCTAAGGAATATTTAAGAAAAGTTTGTCACAGCAATCTTACTATGAGAGAAAAAAATCAAACTAAAACCCAATATTTTCATCAACAGAATAAAAAGGCTTGGATGCTTGCTTGATGAATTCACCTGGTTTGTTTTGTTCCCCTGCATGCACTATAATGTTCATGACCTATTCATCTATTATTTATTTATTTTTACCTTGCAGTGGAGCACATTCTCAAGTCATTTCAGGACTTTGCAGTATCAGATGAAGCTCCCCCACAGGTGAACCTCTGACTGATATTATCTCTCTTGAAATAATTGGAGACTTTTTCTGCCAGAGCAAGTAAATTTTGCATTATGCATATACCTGTTATATTAAGATGCTTTTATTTGTAAGGCAGAACCAATACTTGATTAATTGCCTTAGCAATACAATAAATAAACACATGTTGAGGTGCTCTTGATAAATGTTAAATTCTCTTTACAGTCAAATTAATCAGTGATATTTCCCTCTTATTAATTTCTTTCATTTAGTTTACAAAAAAAAAATCAAATGTTTTTTATTCTTTTTTTTAGGTTCTTGAGGAGGTTAGCTTTGAAGGTATTGTCAAGTACATTAAGAGTGGCAAGTGCAAGAATATAATAACTATGACTGGAGCAGGAATATCCACATGTAAGTAGACATAATACTGACAAGGATGAGGTTGTGTAGATCCAAACATGAAAGCAGGAAAAAATGCATTTATTGATCAGGATTGTTCCTAAATGAGACAACTTGGAGTACACATCATTTTTTTCGGATGCATAATATCTCTTTAAACCTAAGGGGTGATTTGCAGATTACACATTTATCTGCTCAATAACATGATAATGAAGTATTTGGGATATTTTGTAAGCTTCTCATGTGATCCAGGCATTTTTTACATTGGGTATTGGCATCTGTTAGATTAAGTGAATGGGTAGAAGACAAACTCTGATGCTTTGATAAATGTATTTCTTCTTTTGTCACCAAGAGTGCCAATGGTGCTAAGATAGTCTAAAATAACCTTGATCTGTTGAACTACAAATTAGCAGCGTTTTAACACCAGATTTTTGTAATTACAGCTGCTGGGATTCCAGATTTTCGTAGTCCTGGTACAGGACTTTATGACAACCTACAGAAGTATGATCTACCATCACCTCAAGCAATATTTGAAATAGGCTATTTCAAAGTAAGGCATTTAAGATTAAAGGCATTGTTTGTGTCTTTATTTACACAAATTAACCTCCATTTAGTATATATTCATTTCCTTTTTTTCATAGTGTCTATAAAGAGATAGGTCAATTTTTTTCACCTGTATTATCATCTATTTTATCTAGATTACATTGATTCAGAATCTTTAATTTTTTAGCTTTTAAGCTAAAAATGTTAATGCATGCATGTACACCATCTTAAAAGGCGTGTGTGTATGTATGTATGCTTGTCTATGTGCATGCATAAATGTGTTGGGATGCATATCCAAATTCAACACACACATATAATCACACACCATTCATACGCATGCACACACTCACACTCAGACACCCACTACACAATTCTCACTGACTAGATGTATTTTCTAAATAATGTGATAAAATTGCCTACCAGTAACTATCAACACAACTCTCTTGCAGGAAAACCCAGTTCCTTTCTTCACACTTGCCAGAGAACTATGGCCAGGATCATTCAAGGTAAAATTTTATTAAAATATTATTTAAATTTCAGATTTTTATTCCGAAAAAAATGTTTTATGTATTTTTTGGAAAGGAAAAAGCTGACTTGTTGTGTAGTTTGTTAGATTCCTGAGGCAGTGACAGAAAGCAAAAATACACACCTGCTAGTAAAACAGCCTCATTTGTTCAGTTAGTTTGATGATATTTTACCTAATCTTAACATATAATTTGAAGTTAAAAATTTAGTTTAAATTTTATTTCAGGTTAAAGGTCACATTGCTAATAAGAATTTATTTATTCTAGCCAACTCCATGCCATTACTTTTTGAGACTGCTGCATGAAAAAAATCTTCTTTTGAGGGCATTCACACAGGTGAGGAATTTTTTTTCGATTGTTTCATGCTATGTCTTTTATCGTAAATGATGTGAATTACCTTTATGACCATGCAACAGTCAGTATTATGCAATAATTGCTTAATATAAGATCTGCCCCTGTTGACTATCATTGATGGCAAACTCAAGAAAGTCTAGTTTTTGTTGTTTGCAGAACATCGACACACTGGAGCGTGTGGCGGGTGTTCCGGAGGAGAAGTTGGTGGAGGCTCATGGGACATTTGCCACATCACACTGTGTGGACTGTCGACAGAAATACTCCCAAGAATGGATTAAAGGTAGCATTCATATAAGCATCTAGGAAAACTTAACTGTTGTTTAGGATGAAACTGATACTAATTGTGAAAGCTTGACAGAAAGTGCATGGCTGTGTACCTTGACCTTGTTCACTCTGACAACACCAGGCAAGAACTGGAGAGTATCTGGCCTTGGTTTCACAGAAAACTTAAGTCAGATAACCTGGCTAAGAACTTGATTACCAATTTTACATGGTCACATGTGCACGTCTTACCTTATCAGGAACAGTGTTACAACACTCTCATGGAAATCCTAGTCAACTTAGCCCAAAAACTGACTTAAGTTTTTAAGTGTGTGTGCGTGTGCATGCATGCATGTTTGTTTGTGCCTGTGTGTGTGTGTGTGTGTGTGTGTGTGTGT